AGAGGGTCCAGAGGAGGGCCACTCGCATGATCAGGGGACTGCAGGGCAGGCCCTATGAGGAGAGACTACGGGACCTGAACCTGTTCAGCCTCCACAAGAGAAGGCTGAGGAGGGATCTTGTGGCCTGTTACAAACTGGTCGGGGGGATCAGAAGGCATTGGGGAAGTCACTGTTGCCCCGAGCACAGCCAGGAGTGACCAGGAACAACGGTCACAAGCTAGCAGAGGGTAGGTTTAGGTTAGACATCAGAAGGCGCTATTTCACGGTCAGGGCGGCTAGGGTCTGGAACCAACTTCCAAGGGAGGTGGTGCAGGCTCCTACCCTGGGGGTTTTTAAGCAGATGTTAGATGAACACCTTGCTGGGGTCGTTTAACCCCAGTACTCTTTCCTGCCATGGCAGGGGGTCAGACTTGATGATCTTCTCAGGTCCCTTCCGACCCTAGAAACTGTGAAACTATGAAATAGCACTAATTGAAACCGCATTAAGCAGGGATTTCCCATACCATGTATGTTAAATCAGTGATAAAAATAAGCATTAATGGGAAAATCATGAAAAATTTGATGCATTGAAGGCAATTTGGTCCTTTTTTTTAATGCTAAACCTATTGTAGGTGAAAACAATATAATATTAGAGTTTTGTTACACATGTGCTATACTAAATTACCAAATGCTCACTACTTCAATGGCATTCATATGAAATTGAAGCTACCCATTAAATGTAATGGTTTCCTTAGGTTTTTATATAAAAACTTGTAGAACAGCAGGTGACATTTGGTGGTGATTTTTTTAATCAAATAAATGTTGGTTCTAGAACAGGGTTCTGTAAGGCTCATCCATGCCAAATATTCAACAATTACAACTTGGTTAACAATTCTGCTGATAGCACAACAATACATTCGAGTTCCCTGTCTCAGATGGAAATTTTTTTTATCATCAGAGCAGATGAGACTCTGAATATAAACAGAGACCAGATATGCTGAATAAAATTATATATTTTTAGACCTTACTTTTCTGGTCAAAACAACAGTAAGGGAAAGATTTCTTCCCCACCCTCCAAGAACAGTTGCATTAAAGAATAAAAACATTTAAACTTTGAAATTGTGGCTTTTATATTATGTTCATAATCCTTGTCAGTTATTTGATTTGTGGTTGTCATAGCTGTTTTGGAAGTATATAATTTTAAGTTGCTGCTATAGTGAAGAAGAGCTTGTGTAAAAATGTCAGTTTACCCAAAATATATGCCCCTGGTAGGCTCCAAGTCCTATTGACTTCACTAATGAAATTAGATTTTACTCTTTGCTGTGCAGAACTAACAAGGCAGTTGAACAGCAGTGAATTATTGCATTTTGCTGTTGTGTCAGTAAACTGTTAGCTAAATTGCAGATTTTGTTACTAACAGTTGTGTAAAACAAGGGGAATATCATTTTCAGACTCCACCAGCAGAATTTCTGGAAGTGTTGGAGAAAACATCTTCTCAGCTATAAAGGGAATACAATTGCTCTTGGTTAACAGAGAAAATAAATAGCGAATCTCGTAGTTTTCTACTTGTAACCACATTTTAAAGATCAGTTTTGTATCGACGGGTGCCTGATTTATAATGAATACTTTAGGCCAATGCTTCCTAACCTTTTCCTCAGCATGGCCACTCACTCCGAACCCGCAGCACTCCCACCCCCCAGGTGCCCCTCACTTCCCAACCACAGCCCCGCTATACCTGCTGGTGCCCCTCACTCACAACCTGCAGCCCCCTGCCACAGCCCCACCACCTGCAGGGGCCTCTACCTGCCAGGGCTATCGGGCCAGGGCCTGCAGCCCCCTGCCCCCCCCGAGCCTCTGCTGCTACCTGTGGGAGGCAGCCAATGCTGCAGCCAGAGTGGAGCACAGAGCCCAGCTTCCCCTGCCTCTCCCCCTGTGGGCTGCATGGCCATAGCAGAGCCTGTGTGGGTGAGGAATGTGCAGGCTGGCCACTGCAGGCTCAGGGCTCTCTACCCTGCTGCCCTCCTCTGGGGCCAGCATGCAGGACCCAGTGTAGAAGGGTGGGGAGGCTCAGTGCTGCTGTTGGGAGCCTCATGCCAGTTATGCTGCCATGGTAAGGTGCCCCCAGAGATGGCAGCAGCAGCATGGAGTTGTGTTCCTCACTGCTGCTGGGCAGGTAGGGGGTGCCTTGCCGTGGTGCTGCAGCTAGCATAGAGCTCACGGCAGCAGCACTGAGCCCCCCTGCCCTGCTTTGCTGTGGAGGCCCTGAGGAGGAGGGAAGCAGGGCGGGGAGCCCCGAGCCTGCAGTGGGCAGTCTGCATCTGGTCCCACCACCTGCAGAAATCTGGGGGGCACGTGCCCCCACCCATGCCTCCCTTCTGAGGAATGTGCAGCCCTGTTTCTTTAATCAGTGCGACCCCAAGGTTGGGAACCATTGCTTTAGGCAAAGGGGTCATTTTACCAGCATGTTAGAGGAAAGAACTATATTTTGGAAGAATAAAAGTAATATGGATGTGTTTTTTTTAGAGGAAAGAACTATATTTTGGAAGAATAAAAGTAATATGGATGAGTTTTGTTGAGAGGAAAGAACTATATTTTGGCAAAATAAAAGAAATATGGAAGTGATTTTTTTTTTTTTTTTTTACTGTTAAAGGAAGTTTTTTACTGTTAAAGGAAGTTTTTTTAACTTGTATTTTGAAATTAAAATATTTTCTAAATATAAATGGACTGTGAGTTTCAATGGTTGAAGACCAGACACTTTCTTTTTTTGATTTTTTTCATATACTGCTGTATATAAACAGCCTAATGAAATATGCTTTTTTTTTTTTTTTAATGTAGCTATTGGCGAAACCTTTAAATCTTCAGGACCAACAGCAACAAAGTTTAGCAATGCATCTTTTGAAACTCGTTCTTAACTGTCTTAACTTTGACTTCATTGGGAATTCAGCAGATGAGTCTGCAGATGATCTATGCACTGTACAGATTCCAACAAACTGGAGAACAAGTAAGGAAGGACCTTAACTGCTAATAACCAAAAAAGCATTCTGAGTACAGTGGTGTATGTAATTTGTTTTAGCATGGTGCTTACAAGTACAAACTTAGTCCTTTTCCCCTAAGTGGGAAAATGTTTTGTTTGCTCACATTTTTAAAGGTGTCTGCTACAATCATTTGCATTGGTTTTGTATCAGATATTTCACTTAGGGGATTGATGTAATTAGGAGCTCAGAGGGAGAGAAGTGCCTCTTGGACCCTCAATATTTAGATTGTGTAGCTCTTGCTATGGTATAATGCCTATTAAATAGAACTATTTGGTAAATATTACATAATTGGTGGAACACGTGCTTAAGGATTTTCCCTGAACTTTTCCCATCATGTAAGAACTTGAGTTGATTTGCTATGACTAGACAATGAATGAGCTTAAACAACCACTTGATGGTATCCTTATGTAGTTTCTAGAATAATTTTGTTTGATCATTAATTAAAGATCTGACTTTGCTAGGTAACTGGCTTTTGCTAATTATGGTAGTTATGTTTTAACACAAATAATTTGGATAATAAGGAATGGTGTAACACATTCATTTTATTACAGTCACATTCTTAGGTAGCCATCATGTAGCAAGTGCTACATTATTTGTTATGTAGTAAAAGTTTTCTTTAAGGTAGAAAATAAATGAATTCTGTTAAAAAAAAATTTAAAGTTCTGCAGTAACAGTACTCATTATTAAGGTATTTAATTACCACTGATTAAGTTCTTTCTCTCTTTCTTCCCCAGTCTTCCTGGAGCCAGAGACCCTGGACCTGTTTTTTGATTTGTATCATTCCCTTCCCCCAATGCTCTCTCAGCTAGTAAGTGAAGTTTAGTGGTTTACACGTCAGTAATTACTTAGCAACAGTTCTGTTGTGTCTGCGTGTATTAGAGACCTATACCAGGCTTTCCTTATTTGTGAATCTCCAATGATGTTTTTGCCATTAGGGCATTAGCAAAGTTTAAGCAGTTTAAGCAGTTATGTTAAAACAGAAATATGAAGTTATTTTTGAACATTAGTACATATTTATATAAATATATTTGACATGACTTGCATTGGAACTGAAACTCTAGGTTAAAAGAACATGATTATCTTTTCAGTACTTGATTTCTAAAACTTAAAGTATAGCAGAGTTGGGGTTGTTTGTGTAATCCTAATTCAGTCCCCTTTGTAATGTAGCTAAGGAGGTCTCTACAGAGCATGTATGAATTGATATTTTTCAACAGCAAGTAAGAATCTGCCCAAATCTGTCTGAGGTTTTTCAGGAGCGCCACAGGACTTGTGCCTGATACAGTTGCCACCCATTGTCAAATTTTTTGCTCTAAATCACTGAATTCCCAGAATTTTTTTTTTGACTTTTCAATAAACAAAATGTTAACACTGCTAAATAACATTTTCCCGAGTGTCCTTGTTGGAACTACAAAGCTTTGAATCTGAGGCAGATGACTAGGGTGGAAAACATCAACCCAAACAATTAGTCTGGCTCAGTTTTATAAGCCACTGTACAAGTGTGTTAAAATGGGGAATGCACAGCAATGTTAATACCAAGTGATGCTTTCTGATTTGCCTGTAAATATAAACCATAGAAGTGTGTGGTTCAAGTAAATGAAGAGGGATTTTTTTAGAAGAAGGCCAGATGATGAGCTTGGCAGCAAGTGTCAGTTTTTAATTGATGTATATTATACTTATTTCTCTTTAGGCACTTTCCTGTTTAGTTCAGTTTGCTTCTACAAGGAGATCTTTATTTAGCAATCCAGAACGTGCCAAGTATCTTGGTAACCTGATCAAAGGAGTGAAAAGAATACTTGAAAATCCTCAGGTACTTTTTTCCTAATCTTTCCAAGCAGTAGAATTTTTACCACAAGACACATTGCCTCACTAAATCTCTTGTGACCACCTTCAAGGCTAAGTACAGACATTCTGGAGCGTTAGGGCGAGGTTAAATCAGATCAAAATGGCTGCGTGGTATCAGGTAAGTCAGGATGTGAGCACTAGCAGGAGGGTTGGGGGGCAAGCAGGCTGGAGGAGATTGGAGGTCCGCTGAGGGATGGAGGGGAGGCACAACCCATGGGTGGGGCTGGCACTACCTACAGGCAAAGCTGGTATGACCTGTGGGTGGGATGGGGTCCCCCGCCCAGTGAACCTATACCCTCCCATCCTTCCCATCCCTCCTCCCACTGTGACTTATTTGCTCAACTCCAGCAGTGGCAAACGCAGATAAAAGCAGCTGGACCCATGGGGTGGATTGTGGAATGGAAGTTGAGAAGGCTGGCTGGTCAGTGGGGCCAGGGGGAAGCAAAGGGCTGGGCAGGAGGGGTAAAAAATAGCCCAGTCCAGGGGTGGGGAGGAGGGTAAAAAGAGCAACTACGGGGCTGGAACCAGTGGCTGGGTTTTCCCAGTCCTGGGGCTGTGCAGCGAGAGTGTATAGAAGTTCCATGCACCAGTTTGACCTCAGTCTAATCAGTCTGATATTGCGTAGATCCAGGTTTATCTTAAACCGGGTTCTGCAATTTTTAGACTGGTATGTGTACATGGAATTTCTGTACAGTTACAGGTTTAGATTGATTGCTGGTCACTGAGACAGGGTCTGTAAATGTAAGGTTGGTACTGGGGTAAACTAAGTTTAAATCAGGTGGCCATTTTGAACCCAGTTGAACCTTCCCAAATGTCTGTACTTAGCCGAAGTCTTCCTTTAGACTTCTATCACACTACCCAGCCATTTGGTTTAATTGGTAATTATTTTAAATTCGTGTTAAAAAAGCCAACACTATTTAAAACTCCATGTTTAAAATTCCTCTTTAAAACTCTATGTTGACAAAGATGCTCAGCCATTAGGTTGGTTTGGTAATTTTTGAAAACTTGTGTTTGTTAAATTTAGGGTTTATCTGATCCAAGTAATTACCATGAATTCTGTCGGTTTTTGGCTCGACTAAAGACAAACTACCAACTGGGAGAACTAGTAATGGTGAAAGAATATCCAGAAGTTATCCGACTGATAGCCAATTTCACTATTACTAGCCTACAGGTAAGAACATGCAACAAGGGTCTTAGTCTTAAAATTTTCTAAAAAAAGATTCATAGATTGTAAGGCCGGAAAGGACCTTGGAAGATCATCAGTTCCAGCCCTGTACACCAAGCAGGAAAAATAACTGGGGGTCAGGTGACCCCAGCAAGGTAACTGTCTAGTCTCCTCTTGAAGATTTTCAGGGTAGGTGTTTGCACCGCTTCTGGAGGGAGCTTTTTCCACAGTCTGGACACTGTGACTGTGAAAAAGTTTTTCCTAATGTTGAGCCTGAATCTGTCTTCCAGGAGTTTGTGGCCTAGTTTTCCCCTCGGGTGCCCTGTTGAGCAGTTGCTCACTGAGCCCTTGATGTATTCCCCTAGTGTAGCTGTAAGCTGCTACCAGGTCCCCTCTCAGCCTTCTTTTCTTTAGGCTGAAGAGTCCTGGATTTCTCAGCCTTTCCTCGTATGGCTTGCTATGTAGGATTGATCATACAGGTGGCTCTTCTTTGGACTCTGTCAAGCTTGTCCATGTCCTTGTTAAAGTGTGGTGTCCAGAACTGGATGCAGTACTCCAGCAGTTTCACCAGTGCTGAGCAGAGCGGAAGAATCACCTCCTTGGTTTTGCTGGAGATGTATTGATTGATGCATGCCAGAGTATTATTTGCCCTACTGGCTACAGCATCGCACTGCTGGCTCCTATCCATACTGTGGTTTATTACCTCCAGGTCCATTTCATTCAGGGTGCTAGTCAGGTTAGTGCTGCCAAGCCTGTAGGTGCGTTGGGGGTTGTTCGTCCCAAGGTGGAGCACTACATTTCTTGATGTTGAATTTCATCAGGTTCTGATCTGCCCAACTTGCTAGGCTGTCTAGGTCCACCTGTTTCTGTATTTTCAAGCATGACCACACTTCCCCATAACTTGGTGTCATCTGCGAACTTGGCCAGTGAGCTCTTCACCCCATGACGGGACAAGCTTGGGGCTGAGTCTGGAGTCAGCCCACCCACCTGTCTCTATAGGGCAGTCTGCCCAGTCTCTCCTGCCATTTCTTCGCTGTTCCCATAAGTGATGTAAATGCGGGAAACTACCCATTACGTGCCCCGATGCCAGGGGGCGCTATCCACCGCTCCAAACCTCCCCTACTCAGTGGCCCATGCCTCGCAGGTGGCATCCAGGATGACACTATGCTCCTGGCTTAAAGTCGAGCCAACTTGGTCCTTCAGGCCTCTTTCACACTCACATTCACACTGCCCTCTTCTCACTAGGGCCTCCTGCACTCTACCCTCTCTCACAGGGTTTTTCTTGCATTGACAACTTGTTCTGCCCTGCTTCCTCTTGGAGCAGTTCCCGAAGGCCTTGGGGCTTTATCCAGATCATACCTCGGGTGCTGACATGCAGTCTGTCGGGCCTCTCCCACGACCCTTACCTGGTTAGTGGCCAGCCAATTCACCAAACGGAGGGTTAACTCTGCCCCAGCTCTTCACTGGGCTCCTCATATCCAACAACTTGTTTGTCAGGGGGTTGGCCCTTGGGCTGCTCTTCAGGCTGACCCTCAACCCTACTTGGCCCTCATCAGGGCCCTCACTACCGCCCCCTCTTTGGGGCCTCTGGGGTTTCATTCCCCTGTGGGGGCTCAGGTGGCCACAGCCATGCCTGGCCCCACCTGGGGTCTTGCACCCCCTGGGCTCAGGTGGCTGTAGCTGTGCCTGGCCCCCTTTTACCCAGAGTGTTGTGAGGGCTAGGGGTTACTGATGTGCCCCAATCCACCTTTCACCAGAGAGGTGAATGGTCCTGGTATTTAAGTGGGGCTGCCCTGCTACCAGCTGTCCCTCCAAGCCCCCGTATCGAGGCAGGGTGCAGCTTTAGGTCATGCCCAGGACCATGAGCCTCCAAGCCATCCCCCTAGCTCCCAGGCTTACCTCCAGGTGTTTCATACAGCAGTTCAGCCAAGCAATGTCTCTGCCTGGCTACCAGCAGCAAACTGCTGTGTTTTAAAATGGCCGCTGCAATCGGGCATCTGTTGGCTGCCTGACTCAGTCCTTAAAGTGGCAGGCACTACAAGTGCACTACCACAACCCCCACATCCAAATCGTTAATAAAGATGCTGAAAAGTACTGGACCAAGCACCGACTCTTGTGGGACACCGCTGTCCACTTCTCACCAGGATAACAGATCCATTCACTGTGACTGTCTGGGTCCTATCCTGCAGCCAGTTTCTCATCCACCTGACTGTCTCGGAGTTAAGCCACCAATCCTCCAATTTTCTCACAAGGACATTGTGGGATACTAGATCAAAGGCCTTTTGGAAGTCAAGGTATACAATGTCAACCTCCTCTCTCGTGTCCAGATGGTGACTTAACTGGTCACAGAAGGAGATGAGGTTGATAAGGCAAGACCTTCCTGTGATGAAGCCATGCTGGCTGTCCTTTAGAATCTTATCTTCTACAAGCTTATTGCAGATAGACTCCTTGATGAACTTTTCTAGGATTTTCCTTAGGGTGGAAGTTGGGCTGATTGGCCTACAATTACCTGGGTCCTCCCTCCTGCCTTTCTTGTGGATGGGCACAACACTGGCCCTCTTCCAGTCCTCAGGGACTTCTCCAGAATGCCACGAGTTGTGGAAGAGTTTCACCAGGGGTTCCACAATGACTTTGGCCAGCTCCTTTAGCATTCTCAGATGAAGATTATCTGGTCCCGCTGACTTGTATTCTTGTTTTTTTATGTATGTGAAGTGTGTTTTTTTCCTGGAAATGCACTTTATTTTTCAGGTTTTCTGCTAATGTAATTTTAACTAGTAAATTACTTAGGCGTCAACTCCTGGCTTTCTATGTGACTAAGATCTAGTGTTTCGCATAATGAGGGCCTGAGTCTGATCACTTCCACACTACAAATAATAGTAGCACAAAGAAGACTCATTTGTTTGTAGAAGTTCACACTAGAGTATGTTCTAACTGAAATTTATATTTTACTTCGTAGCATTGGGAGTTTGCTCCAAACAGCGTTCATTATTTGCTAACCCTGTGGCAGAGAATGGTAGCATCAGTTCCTTTTGTGAAATCAACAGAACCCCACCTCTTGGATACATATGCACCTGAGATAACAAAAGCATATATTACTTCCAGACTGGAATCTGTTCCTGTAGTTGTAAGGTAGACTTTCTTCATTGTATATAATGCTGTGGTTATACAGTAACTAGAACATTATACTGTTGGTTTAAAAAAAATCTGCTTACATTTTCATGATGTTGTCTTCGTTGTCTTTATTACTTAATGGTGTGAGACCCCAGCATTCTCTCCTGCCTGTGGCAGGGTGTCGGACTTGATGATTTGCTCAGGCCCCCTTCCAACCCTACTAATTATGAAACTATGAGACCAGAATCTGATTCAAGGTATTTAAAAGTAAACTAAACAGAAATTAAACTTGAGCTTCACTTGCCTTTTTTCTTCTTCATCCTTTTAATTTTATAACGAGATCAATATTTGTTACCTTGTATCTAAAATATTTTTAAGATAGATCCTCTATAATGTTGAAGAAATCCCACTTATAAAAAGGATGGGATAGCAGGGTTAATTTACTGGTTTGAAACACGATTGGAAAAAACATATTTTTTTTACTTATCAAAGCTACTCTCAGTAAGTATTCAGTCCATATTTATTGATATTTAGGGTCCAGCATCTGGCCTCACCCCCATGTCTTGTCCAGTCAGAGGAGGGGGTGAATGGGCCCACTCCCCCCACCCTCGCCCCCCTCCCACTTCAGGGCTGTTGCCCTCCCCTCTCCCTCCCACTCCCTCCTCCCTCCCTGACAGCTTTTGTTGCGGCCTGGTAGCTCCGCGTCCTCCTGCATCTGACCCCACCCCCACTTCTCGT